ATATATATATATATGTCGACTAGCGACTGGATGACCTGAAGATCACACCAAGTGGCAAGTAGTCACATCTCGACATCTCGTTCATCCAAATTTCAATTATTTGAACTTGATCGATTTTTCAATTAATATATTATTTAGGCTCAGTCGAATTTCATAAGATAAATTATTTGGACTTTGAATACATTTATACAATTTAACAATATTTCAACAAGTTTTGTCTATCTAAACATAATTTTATTGTTCKTTACAATACATAAAATGACTTGTCCTAGTTGTCCTGACTGATTTATCATCAGTGATGATTCATCACCTAGCCGGAACCGCGGGAGCTATGAGTATAAAATTTGGACAGTAGCTTCGTTTTGTGATGTGGGTACCCACTAAGAATGGATTTTTCAAAATTCAACTTTCCATGGGTAAAAAGGTTAATATCATATACAGAAGAAAAATTATCCGTTTGTTTGGTTTAACCTCAGGAACAACTTAACCAATTTTAAAATTGTTTTTACCATCAGAAAGCTACACTACCCCATGGTTTTATCTTATCTTGATAAGTAGCTCTTAATTTTAAATAATAGATTCTGAGTGGAGCAAGGAATGTATTGATTTTACCATGATGTGTGTTTTTTTCTTTTTCTTTTTTTTGTGTCTGTCATTACATTTTGGGGCAGTAAAAATGCTTCGATTTTCAAAGGTTGAAAGTGAATCTAGTTGGTACTTTGGGAGGTCAAAAGTAAAAAATTCTCAATATTYTTCTAAATAATYGGGATAAACAAACTAAAAATTAAGGGGAAAACGGGAAATATTATGCACAATCAGTTTTCAACAAAATCGATTTCGGTTTTTAATGTAACTTTAAAAAAAATACCACAGATACATGAAATTTTCACCGAATGTTTATATAAGTATATTCTATCCAACATGAAATTTTCAAAAATTTTCGACTTAAGTTGAACTATTCATAGGTATTTGCAATTTTCGATCATTATTAGTTTTTTTTAAATTAATATCGATAAAAATGTATTTGTTAGTTAAAAATGCTTGAAAATGTAATACAAGGCTCACAATATATTTTTACAATAGCAGTTGAAAAATAAAATAAATTCATGATCACAATTTTTTTTTATAAGCATTCAAAGTTTGAATTTTGACAAAATACGTAAAAATCACAAAAATTCGCAAATTATTTTAAGCTAGAAATTCATGAAAAATTTTCTTTTTAAATCTAAAATTTGAAAATTTAATACAAGATTCTTTACAAGTTTGTCAATTTTTATCACAAAAAAAATGTTCACCGGAAATTCAAATTAAATTTTTATGAGCATTTGAAATTTAAATTTTTACGACATTGGATTTTCTCTGAATTTCACATTAAGCGATTTTCTTATTTTGGTGTAACTCTAAAATAAATGATCGCAGATACTTGAAATTTTCACATTTTATATATTTGATAAAATTTTCAAAACATTTAGATTTGTTTTGAGCTATTTACTGACATTTTAATTTTTCAACTTTTTTAGTTTTTTTTTTCTATTAATGTCAATAAAAATTTATTTGTTGGGTAGAAAAGCTTGAAAAATTAATATAAGGTTTCTAACACATTATAACAATAGCAGTTGGAAAATTTTAAAAATACATAGGCATGATTTTTTTTTATATGCATTTAAAGATCAAATTTTGACTAAATACGTAAAAATAACGAGAATGTTCAAATTATCTTAGATAGAAATTCATAAAAAATTTTATTTTCAATTCTACGTTTTGAAAAATTAATTCAAGAATCCTTATAAAATTATCTACCTTTATAAAAAAAAAAATTGTCCACCGGAAAGTCAAATATTTTAATAAGTAATAATAATCTATAATATATCCTAGACAGATAAATTGTCTCCGCTCAAAATCGTTTTTCGTATACAAAGATAAAATATTATTGGATTCAAGTTTTAATTCCGTCCATYACAATAACCCACTTGTAATCTACTGTACAGCTGAGCGATATCCGCTTTCCCGTTTTTTTTTTTTATTAAAAATTTGAGATTTTTATAATAAATAATAATATTACCTATATAACTAATAGATAGGTATAATAATAATAAATATAAATATATTTTTGTTTATTATAGGGTTGCTATTAGTTAGGTATATAATTTAGTATGGCAGATGAACAAGAAATTAGCAATAATTTGTTATTTAGTACCAATTAAAAAAAATTATTTTATCTTTACAAAGCKAAAAATGCGAGAAAATATCATGATTGAATATAATTTTAGTCCTGTATTTTATATGACTATTTTACAAATTTTTAACGAAAATAATTAAGATAGAGTAAATCCATGAGAATTTGTCACAAGAAATTTTGAACATGACTAGACGGGTATTAAATGACGAATTAAATACAAATTTTGAATCATATAGGGTTGGTATTTTTAACGGCCAACGAAGTGCACGAAGATCAGCTAGTATAGTAGTATATGACATACCTATTATAAGTATAATATGATGTATAGATGTGTTAACTGAGTATTTAACTACAAATATGGCGTACGAAATCGTGCTTAAACTTATCAACTTCAATAATGTAAGGTATCAAAATTGAAAATCACGCGTAAAATAGGTATGTGTAGTTGTTTTACGAGTCCTTGTAAAGACTCGTAAAACAACTAGTGGCGCCAAAGTCCAAAATTTTACCTATGACATTAGACACCTCCACATACAATTTTGACACCCACCTATTTCTTATAATTACCTTACCTTATAGTTTTTATGAAATATTATCAACTTTTAGTTTACAATTGACAGTWATATCTAATACATGCAATTATCCATAGGTAATATATTTAAAATGACAAACGTAACCCTCCTACCTACTAAAATCAGCTGTCATAGGTAAATATATATTTTGGCGCCACTGTTTACAAGACATAGGTACACTAATTACTGATACTGTTGTTAACTTTTAAAACGATTTCCTTGAAGCCAAACTTATACTTCTGGAATTCTCAGGAGTAATAGGAAGAAAATCCCAAACAAGTAACTAAAAAAAAATTATAAAAGGAGAACATGTTTGGAAATAATAGCAATCAGTTTATATTCCGAAATGGAAAGACAAAATGGATGTTTTATGTATAACAATTGTAAAGTACCATCCTTCAACGGTGTTAATAAAAATAGAA